CCAGGGGCTTGAGCCCGCGCGCAGGAAGCCGGTCATGGTTTCTGTCCTCCGGTTCTGGCGCGGCAGGCGCCCCAACGCACGGGCCCTGTGACCCCCCAGGTCTTCCGGGCCTGAGGACGGAGGCCGGCGTTTCTTAGGTGGAACTCCGGGCGCTCTGGGCATCCCGGCCATTGGGCCTTTGTAGGCTCCTTCCTGTGGGAGGGGCGCGGTACCGGCGCGAGCAAGCACCGCCCCCGGTGCCCATGTCCCCTGCCAGGCCACTCTCACGCGACAAGGGCTGTCACAGCCACCTTAAAGGAGAGCCTCCCAATCCACACTCGGGACACTGGGCCAAGAGCAGGAACGCTTATGGGCGCAAGTCACCTGCTGGAGGAAAACTGCGATGCAAGCCCGGCCCTGGTGATGTTGCTGGAAAAGGGACCTACCTGGCCCTGAGCGGGTCTGCCTAGGGCCAGCTGGTAGTGTCTGGGCTCTTCGTGCAGGGCAGTTTTCAATTTCACAACAGGAGAGTCCAGGTGAATTTTAGAGGACGTTTATTAAAGCTGGGGACAATGAAAAAAGGAGGGGCTGAGGAAATGAGCCTAGGCTGGGCTGCTTTGGCTCACTAAGAAGTCAGAGAAAAGGGGACCTTAGGGAGAGGTTCAGGGGGGTTTGTCCTGGCAGAAGTGCCACTGCCCATTGCTGCCTTGGTTGCAAGCCTCCTGGGTCCCTTAGAATTTAAGAGATGCTGCCTGTGGGGAAAGAAGGGGGACCTGGCTGTGCTCCTGGGAGGCAGAGCAGGCGCTGGACCTTCATTTTGAGGGCTTTTAAAGGCTGGGCAGTTAGGGGAGGATCTCAATAGAATATTAATCAGTTTTATGCTGAGGATCCAAAATGAGATTTATTCTCTTTTTTTTTCTGTAGCGGAAAAAGAAGGTAGGGTGGGTGACATCTCTAATGGACATTTAATTGTCCCTCATACCCAATGAGCAAAGACAATCTCAGTTTCATTCAATGAAATTTCAGTAAGTTCTAAATGTCATTGCCAGCTGTAACAGAAGAGACAAAAGTCCACATGAGTGTGTGTTAATAAGGTCCCTGGCAACCCGAGTCCAAGACTCCCATCTTGGTATGAGCAATTCACAGAAGCAGGAACTTGGCATCCTACAAAGCATAAAGTGACCACAAGCCCCTGCCAAACCACTAATTGGATTTCTGTTATCTGCCTCTCTGAGTAGGGTGACTTAAGCTACTTACCCTCTGGTTGGGGGAGGAGAAGTACAAACCATTTACTCTTAAGTGTCCCTGGTTTAGGGAAGATAGGATTTACTAGATCGCTACAAACTGTTTGGCATCTAGATTTTCTAGATGTCTGCAAACTGCTGTTTATCTGTCTCAGTTTCCTGATTCCGCTTGTCCTGGCTTACTAGCCTGTCTCAGTGACATCTACCTGACCAAAACCTGAGAACTAGGACTTTCTCCCTTAAACCCTGGGATGACACAAGTACGTGTTTCCTTTTTTGGGGAGGACCCAAGGGGCGGTGCCTCAGCTTTGTAGGCTCACATGATCCCCACCAACGAGCAAGTGATAGATGAACCAGAATCCACATCATAGATTTCCCACTGCACAGCCAGAATGTGAAAGGTCCTCTTTGTGTTGTAGGCTGCGGAATGGCACCACGAGTCAGACTGGTGGGGTCAGATGGGACCTGAGTTCAGCAACCTCAGTACTTGAGTTCTGGTTAGGAAAGAATTCAGAGCCAAGACTCCAACTCTAAGAGAACATTTATTTAGAAAGTTGCAGAGGTAGAAGTAATTCCTAGAAGAAATGGGCTGAGGAAATGAGTTATGGAGGTAAAGGAAGGGCCCTTGGAGCTTGGGAAAGAGAAAGGTAATAGTAATGGGCCTTGGGGTGGGGGAGGGAAAGGGAAAGGTGAGAGGTGCTTCCGGGAGGGAGGGAGAGGGGAGGGAAAGAGAGCGCACTGGGTCCTCCATCCTAAGGGTTTTAAGGCTGGAGATTTTAGTGGAGATCCCAGGGAAAGATCTCAGTAGAATATTCAGCAGCTTTCCAGATGTGTCCTTTCAGAGTCTGGGTCTCCACTGATTGGTCGATACCAGGGATGGGGTCATTATTCAATGCAGTTGATCCTGAGGTCAGCAATGGCTGGGTTTGTTGCCTTCTGGGCCTGGAGCTGAAATACAACTGAGGCCTAGATATTATCTCTAGGGAGGAAAGGTCAAGGGTTCCAAACCCCTCGACCAATGATAAGCTAGGGGAGGAAAGTTCACCCTGGGATCAAGGTCCCACCCTGCAATTGTCTATTTCTAGGCACCCAGGGCTTTCTGCCCTGGTGATCTTGTGTACCTGGCCCATCATCCTTGCTCTGCTCATGCCTGTCTAACCACCTACCACACCTGAGTCCCTGCTCCCCAGGGTAATCTGCCTTGTGGACACCCTGTCAGTGCTCCTGGGGTCACTTTAAGCATCTTAGGTCATTTGAAGATTTCCACTTTCATGGGAGATTTTAATCTGGCCCTGGAGAAGGGAATGTCTCTCTGCTCCACATTTTAGTGGCTTAAACACTCTCACCTCCAAGAGAAACATTACTAGCTCTTAGAATGTTTAAATCTGTCTTCCCTTCTACAACTCCTTATCAGTCGCCAACAGCTTCTCCCACAATTGCTATTATAATTGATCCTACATCCATTTTGTCTTCTGGATGAGATGTAGACTCTACTCTTGCTGAACCTTATTTACAAGCTATCATTTTAATACGGGTTAGTGCCTGGAGGGGAATTCACAGATGGCACCACCAATGTTTAGGTGGCTTTTTGTTAGCATTATTTTCTAAAGGTGCAAATTCCTGTATACTGACTGCATCCCAGCAACAGGAAATGGGGCCACAGGTCGAGAAAAGCACACATGGAGGCCAAGGGAGGACACATGTCCTGGGAGGGTCTGCCAACTTTCATCCACCTTGAGTAAAGAATCCACTGTTGGGGACTCCTTCCTGATCTGCTATACTTCGGCTCTCTGCTCTGGGAATCATTTCAGAATCATAGAGTCTGAAGGAGCACTCTGGAACCTGTAATTTTACCAATCCCCTGCTCCCCAAGGGTTCCAGTGCTATGGGTGATAGGAGGCTATAAAATGTCACAGTGACATGATCAAATTCATATCTTCGAAGGTCGCCCTGATAGCAGTGTGGTGACTCAATTGAATGGGGCTGAACTGGAGGCCCATGGAATGTGCTAGGCAAGAAATAATGAGGGCTTGCCCAGCCAGTGTGGCTCAGTGGTTGAGGGTTGACCCAGGAACCTGGAGGTCAGCGTTCGATTCCCGGACAGGGCACATGCCCAAGTTGAGCATCGATGTAGGATCCAGGAGATCGCTGTTTGATTCCCGGGATCAGGGCACATGCCTGGGTTGTGGGCTCAATCCCCAGTAGGGGGAGTGCAGGAGGCAGCCAATCAATGACTCTCTCATCACTGAAGTTTCTATCTCTCCCTCTCCCTCTCTCTGAAATTAATAAAAACATTTAAAAGGAAAAAAAATAATGAGGGCCTGAATTAGGAGAGTGGCTGTGGAGAGGGGGTGAGGTGGGGAGAAGGGAATGATTTAGAGAGTGTTTAGGAGGTAACTTGATGTAATGTAGTAATGGGTGAATATGCAGAGCAAGGGAGAGGAAGGTTCTAGCTTGGGAGACCAAAGTAACAGTCCTTCAGTCCTAGGAGTAATATTTTCAAAGCACTTACCATGTGTGAGGCACTAGCAACTTTGTAAGGATTAGTTGTATAATCCTCACAAAACTCTATAAAGTGAAAATAGTTAGTCCCATTTCACAGATGAGAAATCATTCACAGAGGGGTTAAGAAAGGACACACTCTTCACTGTAAAATAACACCATGGTTTTGTAGGTATAAATGTTTATTTCTACATCAGCTGGTTTTCCCAAAGGTGGCCAAGTCCAGGAGTACGTAGCAAAGTGATACACTTTGGTTGGATCTTAAGCAATGCAGAACGGCCTCCAGAACTGCACACTGCCTGTGGCTCTTAGGTGGCTCTATGATGATGCAGTACCACTTTATGTATGTATCCAGAGATCACATCCTGTAATCTCAGTTATCTGAACCGTAGCCAAGAACCAGAACAGAAGCAAAGGACAGACCCTGAGCAGCAA